ATATAGACACGTTATTAACTGCTGCCTCACTTATTATTATTATCATTACCATCATCATCAATTGTGTTATAATGATTAAAATGGTTCGGGGGCCTTTTTCCGATCCTCTTTTGTTGACGACTAATAAACATTATGCCGAGACAATGGTTGGTTTTTTTCACTCGTCCTAGGCCTATTATAGTTTATCAATAAATTTTAGAAAAATTTTACAATTTTTTTTTTGAAGCATCATCATACTGTATAAATATTGTGACGATATTATATCAGCGTTAGCGTTATATACCATTGCAGTGTGATTAGTAATTTTTTTTTACATGATGTGTTTTTCGCAAATAAAGTCTTTGCTAAAAAACGAAATGGTTATATAATTACGCCGTTGTTGTTTATTAAGTGTAGGTGTATATCAATGTAACTATTATTTAATCAAACCAATTGTAATAATAATAATCGTAATGCATTATAAACTATAATAAGCAGTGCAATAACATGTTAAATTATCAGATTAAAATTGTATATATTGTGTTAATCGACAAATTCAAAAACTATAATAACACTTACTGGATATTATAATATTATACTTGTATTTAATCTCCAGAATTTGCAATATTATCCATAGGCATAAACTGGCCTCAATTTCTGGTGGTACACTTTCTTTGGAAATTACCACCAGAAAATGATTTACCTATAGTTGTACCTAATAATTAGTTAAAACAATCCTTGTTTTAGTTATAGTTATATAGATACTTGTTTAATAAAGAAATGTATAATTTTTAAAATTTAATCTATAGGTATGTACGTTTTTATGATTTTGTGGTGGTGCAAAAATATAAATTTGCACCACCCAATTTACGCCACTGCAAATTATCCACCCAACATTTTTCAATGTAGAAGTTTGAATAAATATTTTGAAAACGTTGGATATGTACAACAATATTAATATTTAATTATAAATATATAGGTATTTAAATATTGTATATAAGTTGAACAATTATTAAAAATTAAAAATCAAATATCAATGAATCATTTAATGAAAATTAAAAAACCAAGCTAGGTAGGTATATGATAAATTTGAATATTGAAAATAAAAAAATTGAATAAAATTTAGTTTACTTTTATATTTATATTATTATTTTCAAGCAATAATATTTTGTTTTATTTTATGACATTTTAAGCTTTCACACTATTGTCAAAGTATGAAAAACGGCACAATAATAATTAATTTATTGACTATGATTATTTATTTCTTAATTTAATTTTTCAATATTTTTTATTATTTATTGAAATAGTTTTTTTACGAGGTTTCTTATTCCGATTATCATTTGATGTGGCGAATCGAATGCAGGGGTGCGATTCCACCATGTATGACGCATTATTATATTGTTACCGGTTGTTTGTAACGACGAAACACCACATTAGATTTCGGTATTAAGACGACGTACCTGGTTTTATAACTCGCATCTGACGCGCAAATTGTATTGATAAATGATCATCGTTGCGCGGAGCAAGTTTTCCGTATAATAAGGATTTCTTCGGTACGGGGCGTGCGGAGTGAGTATATTAGGTGTAACCCCCCCTCAGAAAATGATGAGAAACGTTTGAAAAATAAACATCACCAGTAATGCTCGGCGCCGCATGTATGTGAAAGGATGTGTTGGGTGTTGTGCTTAATCCAGCGGTTGTTAATAATGATAGTCAACATCGGCCGAGCGCAGGCACACAACAAAAGCGCCTTTCAAAACAGTAATTTATTTATTGTTCGAGACGCTCTTCGCTCGTCGTCCATTAATTTATCAACTGGATCTCGACCATATCACAATTATAGCTATACTGATAATATAATAATATAAGTCTTATACATATTGGGTGTAAAACAAATGGATATACGCCGCATCCTCTTCCCCCAACTTAATACGGCCCATAATTGTATTCATGATTATACTATGTGGTACCTATACGTAAAACTCACGACTGTCGACTGACATGCTCCCATTTCCGTTATAATATGTTATTGTCAAAGGCCCAAAATTGTAGTTGCATGTCGACATTTTCTATGTATCCACTATGTAAAAAAAAAGTTTTTACTTTTTATTCAAAGTGTGAGATAATATTGTATTATTGTATTCCTACGATCAAGTTAAATGTAAGCAGCAAGATAATGATAGAGCATGTATGGATTCTTAACATATTTTAGTTGTAATTCTAGAAAATATAAATATTACATTTATTAATTAGGCACAAATATAACATTTAATTAATTTTTGTATGTAATAAAATAAACGCTTTACAAAAAAATTTTGTTGCAAAAATGATTGTAGATACTCTGTGTATAGTTTTATATAGGTGCCACTACAGTTTGACCGAATTAACATTTCAAAGTTCACTAAAAAAATAATAGGTTCTTGTTTCAAGAATATAAAAAAATTCTATACGTACTCATATTTTTGATGTAAACACATCCATACGATTACCTATATAGTTTTAGTACCTACCAATCTTAACGATATTGGGTTTATGTTAGGTTTTGAGCATCAGTTGAATCTGACTTCAGTTTTTTGTGTTAATTCATCAAAACTATGTTCTGAATCATAAAGTTAATCGTAGTAATTGTGTTTGTATTATTTTATTATATATTTTAATTGAGGCACACCGTAAATGATATAGAAATATTAATTAATTTTAACCCTCGGGTGAAGTCGGGTAAATCAACTAGTGTATTTAAAATGTATATAAATATGAATAATATATATGGTTACTAAATGTATTTTCTAATCTAGAGAACTTTTAAAGAGGCCCGCCGGGGTGAGAATTATTTGATGGATGTCTTGAGGGGATTATATGAGCCCATCCCTCGGGTTTGTGGACTCATAGCAATCTTAGCACCCCCTGAAATGAAGTCCTGGTCGCGTTGCCCAGATATGTGTACTCATTCTCAGTTGTGTAACTCTGTGATTTGACCGTTATCGGTGCAGGTGTCGAAACAGTGATTTTACACGTTTGACCGTCACCGCTGCCGCCGCCATGCCACCAACCCACCACACTTGGTTGATAGGATAATGTAAGACAAATTGCTGCTCGATTATTCGAGGTATATAGCTCAATCGTTGTAAGAGTGTATGGGAAATTACAAATTAGGTCGCGCCACCACTGGGGCGATTTTATGTTTAGTAATCGCCACTAATCGGCTCTTTTGCACGGACAATTTAAATTTTCTACGGTTTCCCGCAAGCGAGCGAGCGCCGTACCAGACGTCACAGGAGCTAGTTTACTTTGGCTGCGTGAAACCACAAACGGGTTTCGATAAGTTTCAAAAATATACAGGGTGATTCACCAAGATGCTCTCTCCCGTTTTCCTTTTAATAACGCTTTTATTTAAATCCCGATTTTTAGAATTTTTGTGTGCATCTTAAGATCTATATTTTCTCCTAGAGTCTCCTGTGGCAATACTAAATTCTTTTTTTCATATGAGATACGCTCTTTTCCCTGTAAGTTGTTAGTTGGAGAACTTTTTTTGAAAGTGTTGATGTATCTTCACCAAAATTTGAAATCTTTGATTATTATTAAGTTATTTAACATTGTGTGTACCGAAACGAAATCCACGATAATGAGTTTAGAAAATAGTTATGATGATTTTAAAATTGTAGTGTTTAATGTTAATCCTTCGACGTTTTATGATTGAAAAATAATATTAATATAGTATAATATACTACATGGATTATTAATGTTCCATCTATTTTGCATTATTGTGAGACCATTTAAGGACTATTATTCTTGGTGTATACATTTTTAAAATGCAGAAACTACTCGTTGAAATTTCGATATAAATACACCAACATTAAAAAAAAAAAAATCATATGCTTAACAATTTTCAGTAAGAAGTTTGGTTCTCATTAGAAAAATAAGTTTGTATCGTCACAGGATACTCTTTAAATAGGTATAGGTATTCAAAACTATCTACTCGAAAATGTGGACTTCGAGTAAATAATTCCAAAAATCGGGATTTAAACAAAAAAATACTATTAAAGGAAAACATGAGGGTAGCATGCTTAGTGAATCACCCTGTATAACAATATGTATAGGTACGATAGGTACATAATGAGTCTGTTATTATTATCATGCGCATTGCGTGTATATGTCGTTATAGCCGGTTGACGTTGTCGCCGATGTGCCTCGTCTCCGTGAAAATCGGTGGCGCGGGTCACTGCAGCCGTAAATGCGAATTTTTTATTCAGGAAAAATATACAATCCATACATGCCGTACAAAAAAGAAATTAATTAATTGAGCATACACGCTGCAGAATAATGCATGCTGCACGAGCGGAGAAACGCAAGTCGTTGACGGAACTCCGGAAGTCTATGTTTACTCAATTTTCTTATATTATAAGACATCCCATTTCCTATTTTTAGGCGGCGAGTTAGATTGCCGGGAAGGTGATTGGTTATATGTTGATAATATAATAGTCTGTAATCGGGGAATTTGAGTATGGTTCTGGAGAATGGTTCTTAAATCACCACTTCACCATATTATGGTATATTATGTCTTTATATTTGAGACATAATATATTCTACCCAACGCAAAGAACACGGGGTTCAAGGATTTTATATTTTTGATTGTATTAGATGTTTTTGCCGATCATCAGAATTTAACAATATATATTATATATGGTATTAAACGTCGAGGTATAACAATTTAAACGAATTTAAAATGAAAATTCTTCTCTTGTACTCCCTGCTGTGTATAACATATATATTTGTGTTTTGTGTTGACGGCGAGTTTGTGATATTATAAAGGTACCTAAAGTTCGAAACACGGCAGAAGGGGTTAGTTTGGGCAACGACGATACCTATGTACAATGCACATCGTAATTGAATATTTTTTCGCATGTTAAAATGAATTCGACTTTTTTACTGTAGCAACCGTACTTAAGAGTTTAGGACATTTTTCGTATTTACATAGCAGGTATATAGAGAAAATATTAAAAATTGCTTTTATTGTTTTACAGAAATCAAAGGAAAATTCCTAAGGCCGACAGTGGTGCTCTGTTTAAGAAACGAAAATCCGATAAGGCTATATCGGCTTCAGAGTTCGATAGTGGAATGAAGGCGAAAAAAAGGAAGATGAATTGAATTTGGACACTACTCGCATATTAATTTGTGTTTATGTAATCTAAAACTGTTGTGATACATAATAAAGACAAATTTTTCCAAAATGATTTATTATTTGTATTTGTTTAGTTATTTCTTTTAAGGATTTAGATTACGGAGGCGGACAAGACGTGCAATAGATGAATAGAATACTAGAATACATTGGAATAATTGCATACAAAATATACAACTAATTGTAACAGAGATCGCTAATTATTTACAAAATTCTTACGTTAATTTTGTACGGTATTACTAAAAAAATAAGAAGGTAAATGCGTGTTATTATTATAGTTTTGCGTGAGTCGTTGATGATGATGGTTTGAAATGTTTTGTAGGCGTATTGATTGTTCGACACGTGTTATTATTTTGTACATTATATACGAATGGCGAGTCATATTATAACGAGGTAATGAGGTAAAAACAAATTCCGTTTTATATATTATTATTCGTGCACATTTTCTATACGCAGACGTATAAAGGGTTTGGAAACGAAAACCGAAAAGTACAATAACTGCATGTAAACTATATATACTCGTACTCCGGTATTTGTTTACGTGTTCCTATTGTTGTACGTATGCGCCAAACACCAAACGAAACGAATCTTGAACATTTCACCATCCCATTTTAATTTTTATTATTAATTAATTAGGTATTATGATCATGCCGCAACGAGTGAGAATAATAATCAACGCCGTACATTCACACGTAAGCTGCAGGTATAATATTATAATAAATATTATTATGTGCTCGTTCACGACGTTGGAATATAGGTAGGTACCTGCGAAGATACGTAAATGTACCTATCATAATAACGGTTTCAATATACCGAACGAAATAATATTATTATGTTGTTTATTTGGTAACAATATATTATACTTTAGTGTGGATATACAGGTGGTATAACGCAATATATTATGCTAATATTTTTGAAAATGTTTTCTGTTCACACGTTCATTCAAATTAAAAACAAATACATTTTGTTTGCTCGAAGTATAAAAAAAATTGTTATTTTCGAATTGCGTCCGAGGTGTTCTGCAGATAGAGCCGATTTTCGTAAATCATGACCCCGTCTGTCGGAGACACTAACTCTCCACTCAAAATCAAAGTCGTAGAGTCAGTGTAAATATTATTAGGATTTAAACTTGGCAATTATATGCAGTCCTGTCTCGATAATTCGTTTTTTTTTTTATTGCCTCTTGAAGTGTTTTTAAGTTGAGTTTGAGGTATATAGCTCGAAAAATACATAAGTCAAATTCATTTTTATTATACCCTTAAAATTCGAGTTATCGAGACTCGGCTGAATTATCCTTTTTGTATACAATATTTTCGATTAAATAATTATAATAGGTAGGTAGCTATAGTAAAAGTAATATATTTTAATAGTTGGTATAGGTAATAAACGATATAACTTCTTCGTTATAGGTCGAATAAAGATTAAACGACTTAATTTTATACGATTTTATAAAAATGTATCGAAAATGTTCTCCTCTTCAATTTTAATAATAGTTTTTTTAACCCTTTCAACTCTCACGTTAACTTTAGGTGCCACAATTTTGATTATGCTATAGAGGTGTTTTCCGACTCCCGTTATGGATATTAAGTTCTTTTAACTTTTAAGGATTAAATTATCAACTCTCATCAAGAATTCTTATAAATTATAATAGTTGGCTGTACATGTTTCGGTTACAAATTAATATGATTAAACTTTACAGTTTATAGTTGAATAGATGGCATATATAAATATATATTATGCAGATACGTTTAAGAGAACTTGAGAGACTCTTTGGTTTAATATACAAGTTATTGAGTATTGATTCATCAACCTTATCCTTTTATAATGCATTTATTCGAATGTTGATTTTTAGAACTTTTAAGTATAGTTAAATACCTTATTTTGAAATACTTATAATATAAAATATTATATTATAACACATCATGTTTTTTACAATGTAAGGAGTATGATGGCAGCACACAATTTTTTCTAACCAATCACCAAGGTTTAAAGTCCTTTTAGTAAATGCATGTGCAATCCTTGATAATTATTTTACATAAAATAAAAAATAGATATAATATTTATTCTAGTTATTATACTTGGACAATGTTTACAAATTATAAAATTATAATAAATTAATATCAAACATTTTAATTTAAAAATTATCACAGCCTCCATTAAAATATATCTATTCGTGCATGTATTATCGTTAGTACTTAAAGTTTAATTACCTTTAAAATGCCGATATTTTGTTTTAATTAAAAAAAGTTATCTTTTTATCTAATGCAATTGACAATAAAAATAGAGTGGTTCTCATTTGAGAAAAACAAAGTTTGTTTCTCTGCAAAGGACACCTGTTTAATCACATGAAATATCTAAATATTTGAAACTTTGAAAGTATGGTTCTTAAAAGTCCCCACTTAAAAATTCAAATATCAGAATTTGAATAATGTGCTTTTTAAAGGGAAATTTTGGGGGTGGACATACTTGGTGAATCACCCTTTATAGTCGATATTACATTATATACACTCAAATACTCAATATGTTATTACATAGTCAATGATGTGGTCGAAAATGACAACTTAATTTATACACGATATTTTATTATATTCAGAGGCTTAAACACTATTAGGTACAATTTATCATTACTCGTGCTTCGTGTGTTGTCCATGCAGTATCATACAATATTATTATTTAATTAAAGGGACAAATTATATAATTGGCCAAGTGATGGTACTCTGCCTACGACGAAGACGACGTGCGACGTTACAGCACACACAGCAGCGCGTATACACGTGTATGGGTGTATTATAGGTACCTACACACACACACACATTTTCTTAGCCTAAGGCTCAAGGTTAAATCAATGACCTCACCCGTGTGTGTCTTTTCCTCGCCAAGGATATTAACGATAATAATAATCGAAATTTTAGATAGCTTTGAGGTAGTAGTCGTCAGATCGGTACTTTGTTAAGCGTTTTCCATTAATGACTATAGAGCGCGATATAGGCGGCGGCAGGCCATCAGGTGTCTATCGGTTTATTCGTATAGGTAGGTATGGTATATATATATATATAGACACCTGATGAATTTTAATTGTAATGTGCCACTACAATGAGAGAATACCGCCGCCGCCAGTAGCGTTGTTTTGTCCGATTCAATCACATGCGATAACACACACACAAGCGCGCGCTTGATTTTAATAATAATAATATATTATTATTATAGAGGTAACATACGCACTGCCGCAGAGGAGTCTTTATTTTATTCGAATAATCGTACTGTTACTATTATACACGGCGACACGGCAGCTATGTAATATTGCGACACAATAAACCATACGAGAGATTTCGTGCTGTAAACACGTGTATTTATTGTACGCGTAGGTATAATGAGAATACGAAAATCGTACAATGTCGATTTGGTAGTTTAAATTGTTTGATAAATTATTATATCCTTATCATCCAGGCACCGTGTCGAGTTATATAGACACAACTAGGCTCGGGGACTTGGAAGCTCAACCCCCACCCCCCCACCACCCGCAAATGTTTTCATATACCACCTACTACGTACGACCTAGTTCACACCCTCAAAGGTATTGGATGATACCTGATAGTATTTTTTTTTTTTTTGATGAGGCAAAATATATTGGTTAAGAACGAGTATAGGTATGCGATTATGCCTTATATACTTAGCTGCAAGGCCGTTTCTCAAATTTGGCTATACGCCTATAGTAAAATATATTGTTAATATTGAACTACTTGACCATTTATTACAGAAAAATGATTATATATATATTGGAAATACATAATATAAAAAATCAAGAAAATATGTCCAATTCCGTCCAACAGGCATATTGCACGAAAGACATCAAGAGGATTAATTGCGGTGGACCAGGATGCCTAGCGGCGACCGAGCCTACGTGGGTTCTCGATGGGTCAAGATGACGGACGCAGTGTACTACAACGACTGCGGTTCAGCCGGCAGTACTCTCTTCGACGGAGGAAGAGGATGTGGTGTTCGGCGCCGCGATAACTATGGCATACAGCAGTAGCAGCAGCTGCTGTCACAGGAGCAGGATCAGAAGCAGCTGTAGAGGACGAGTTAGAAAATTAGCCTTTGCCGAAGAACCACAATCACAAAAATGTTGCCAGCATCGACGTGTTAGTTCTGTGGGTAGGTAACCTAACGTAACCGGGTGGTTATATAGGACCAGACAACTTGGCTACAGATCGAGGTGTGCCGTGCGTGTCGGACCCGGAGGTGGTGTGGCAGGAGGAACTTTTGGAGGCGGAACTGATCGAAGTTTAAGAAGTTTGGAGGTGGCAGTTCCAAAAAGTGCGACAAGGCTTCGAAAATCCCGGCGAGCATAATATTATCATTAGAAACTTGCCGGTTATAATCGTATGTTGAAAATATGAAACAAAATTAAGAATATTATGGTGAATAATAATACTTATAGCATATAAGTTGTAACACTCTTACTTCGTAATACTGTATACTTATAACTTGCCATGTTGTTTTTCTATTAGGTACTATACAATTTTTGAGCTGCTACGTTCCTTGGATTTGCCAAATCGCTTCTTAGTTCTTACCCCCTTTAGTTTCACCATCACTTTCGTTTGTTTCTCCGCTATCATGTCACCATCTCCAGTTCCGACACCAAGTCCTCCGGCATAAGCACTTTGATCGCTACAACTTGGCTTTATCGTCCAGTTGGGCCGGCCGCTTGCCCAACCACAGAATGAACAAGGACTTTCCGGTTTCATGGACGAGGTAGCATTTCCATTACATAATATATGCTTCCCGCGGTCCTTCGGCGGCGGCTGAATGGACATTCCCCGATGGTCTATGTTACCAACAGTGGTTACTGATCGGGCACCTAGTGATTATAAATAATCCATTTGTAAAATTTTAGTATTTAAATAAATAAATATCGTTATCATGATCCAGGATATAATTTAACATATTATTTCGTTTTTAGCATTAAAAACGGAAAAGTTATTAATTATATTTTTAGCCAAATGCATATAAAGCCGTTTATTTAAACCATATAATATTAATGTTATATCCATA